TAATAGCATTATATTTCATAAAAAGAATAAAAGTTTTTTTGTCTCATTATTGTTTTAAAGTTACTAAAATATTTAAAATATAATTCTACTACATATAATTTCCTTTTTATGAAAATTTCCTTTCTTACATATCGTACAAATATATTTTAAAATACGTTTGTTATAAAACGTTTTCTTAATTTTTATCTTAATAAAATTAATATATTCTTACAGTTATATATACAAATCCTTCAAAACATTTTTATACATTTCATTAAAATTAAAAACAAAATTTCGCATACACATAAATTATCAATCAGGCAATGTATCTACAAGTTCCATCATAGTATCTGACTCAAGAACATTCTTTTCTCTATTTTGATTATTTGTAAGTACCTTTGAAAAAGATTTTTGTACTTGTCTAGGGATAAAAGCTAATGGCGTTATTTTACTTTTTACACTAGTCGATGAAATTGTTTCTACACTCTCATTGTTTTTACAGATTGCACTAGTGGTATCTTTTGTGAACATCTTACTTTTCTGATTTTTATTCAAAAGTATCTTAGTAGGTTTCTTCTTTTTTTTATTGTCAACAATATCAAATTCCATTTTATTTGATTCCTCTTTCTTGGTGTAATACGGCGTATCGTCGAATCGATATTTCTTTGGAAATTTATGTACTCTAATGCAATGTTCCTTCCTTTCCATTGGATTGTTAAATTTTATGTCACATTCAGAATCATAACATTGATACTAGAAGAATATCTATATTAAGTATATTTAACAATACTGTAACAATATATTATTATATAATCTATATGATATATATACCATGGCTTGCTTCTCTGATAAGACTTTGAAAAAGGCATCATGTGTCTCCTGAATATGAATCTCCAACAACCGTGGATTTGGCTTGGATACTTTACATTCCGTACAAGCATATCGATGTGAGCTGTTATAATGCATTTCATAATCAAGTAGCGTTTGAAAAGTGTTCTTGCATCCTGGGACATAACATGAGAATTCCTTGATTCTGAAACAAGATAGAATTTATTTTTCTCTATTATAAATCACATAAGCAACCACTTCTCTTCCATTGTAATAAAAACAATATTATAGGATTCTTAAAATTTCTTTGCAGAATTTTTTAGAAGATGAGTCATGTAACATTGAAGCAGAGTGATGATAAAAAAAAAAGTTTTCAGGTTATGTCACTATTTTTCTTAAAGAGAAGTCTGTACTCACACTTCGTGGCAAAGTTCCTCCTCGTCATCAATTGTGACGCCCTTTCTCTGGAAGACCTTGCAAATTTTGTAAGAATCTTCAAAGAAGGGATCGTTTACAGGGCGAATTCCGACACCTAATTGCTGAAGAACCTCTTCCATAGCGCATCAAATCAAACACCGTATAAATAAATGCAGCGCGCGTTTCCTTTGAGAAATCTCAATGCGACTATATTTATTAATTTTTATTATTATTTTATCGATCGAATAAATGCAATGTTTATTGTCTGTATATTCTGCCTTTAACAACACAGCGAGTGCGCCGGTCGCGTTCGCGATCCAAGATGTCTCGACCTCTTGGCTGCCAGTTCGATCTATCGCGATGAACATCACTTCGATAATCGAAATTTGAACGCGAGCAAAAATTTTCTCATTAAAAAATGACGTGACCCGGTTTTCGCGAAGTGACGTTTCGTAGCGAGTTGTGAGGGAAATACGCGAGAAAGAATTCGTGTTTACAAGTGAGAATCGATAACGCGTATCATCTGGTGATAAGGAATCATAGGCGCGTTGTTAATGTTATTTTTCGCAAGCGCTCCGGGTGTAGCATTAAATTCAGAGAGTTAAGTTCCGCCGAGCAATCTAACGAACCATCATGGCCGCTCTTCGATCACGATCGCGAAACTGCGCATCCGCATATTTATAATGTAAGGTGATATTCGAAATGCGGTCTTCTTGATGAATCTTCTTGATGTTTATCGGAGAAGAATGGAACTTACGGATTAGCAAGGTAGAGTGAAATACTGAAATTCAATATATCTCAGACAGCAAAGTGACATTATTTGCTGTCATTTTGACATCAAGGTATCAAAAACGTTATTTGACTACAATAACATCATCTTGCTGACTATAGATAATGTAACTTTATTATTATTTAATAAAGTTTTTATTATTTAATATATGATTTAGAGAGTTATCCTGAAGCTTCTGAATAATTCTCGGAAGAAGGATAGGGCTTGACATACAGATAATTGGAAAGATACTCAGCAAATGAGAATGGATTAAAATGGATTGAAATTTTTTTCTATCCGAATGCGTATTTTAAATAGCGAATACTTTTTTTGGATTTAATTGGATTCAACTGGATTCAATTAATTTCAATTGGATGCAATTGGATTAAAAAACTGCATTTTCTATTCAAAATTTTGAATTGAACAGTGTGTGTTCACAATGTGTGTGTTGTGCACAGAAAAAGCTAATATTATTTTTAGATTGAAAAGCATAAAGATATGCTCCACGCAATTCTTATAAATGAATAAAAATGCATTCATATTGAAAAGCATTTATTTTCGTAACATTCGTAAATCAATATTTCTGAAAAATCTGAATCTATTTCAATTTATTTCAATCTATTCTCGTTTGCTGGATAGGACAAAATACTAAAACTTCATACAATATATATATCTCGAAGTAAGGTGACGTTGTTTCAACGTTATTTTGAAAAGTAAAAAATGTCATTGGCTTTGACTAGAATGGCAACAATTAAATAAAATCATCTTATATCTATTTGACGATATAACGTTATTATTAATTTTATTATTTTTGTATGATAAAAGTTGCGTTCCACTTAATGCTCACAACGCTCGTGGAGTTATTTCATCTTTATTTATCAAATGTTAAACAAGAATAAACAATATAGCTTATGAGCGTTGTGAGTGTGGAACACAGCCTCAGAGTACGATTCTGAATCTTTTAAGTATTTATTGGAAAAAAGAAAATTGCAAAAGTAGGAAATACTGAAATATATGATACAATATAATTTTATTACAGCGATATAGACGTAAGTGACAGCAATAGGCGTAAGTGAATTAATAATAGACATAGATAATTAAAATTAAAAATTGATAATTGAAATGGAAAGGAAAGTGATAATTGAAACAAATATAATTTCGGCAGATTCAATTTCTGATGTTATTTATACAAGAAAAAGAATTATTTTCATTTTTCCATCGTTTTTATTTGCAAATAAGCTGAAGATTCATTGTTATTTATAATAGGCACTTGAATATATATTGCTGATAAAGATTAACAAACTTACTAGGAGTTATGCTGATATGATTAATTTTATTTTCTCATGAAATTTCGCATAATGAGAAATAACAAAAATACATTGTCAATATGTAGTTAGTCATAAATAATATGTATAATCGACACTCTATTTATTCAACTAATAATCGCGTCTTCAGATTTTCCAATATCTCTGTCATCCTGTTCTCTAGCTCATCTCTTCTTTGTATTTCTTCTCTTTTCTCCTGTAACATATACATATGGAAAAGGAATATTTTAACGAAAGATATTTTTTATTTTTTTTTTTATAAGAAACCTGTCTAGACAAATTCTCAATCATTAATTTTTTTTGCTAATATTTAATTTCGAATATACATATATGTACTTTTACTTCAATTTAAAAATAATTTAATATTAAATAAATATAGGTTATTGGTTTTTAATTTCTTGAGAAATATTTTGAAAAACATTTGTAAAATGAAATTTAATTATTTTCGATTATACACATTTAAAGTTTTATGATTTATAATATAAATAATTTGATTGAAGATATAGAATATTGAAAATGTTAAACATTCATTTCTTTTATTTTTTTAAAGATTAAAAAAGACACTTTTTTTGTTTGCGTT